AGTGTCGTTTTCATCATAGTAATCTTTCTGTTCTTATTTTTAGAAAGATCAACGAGTTGACAGCGACTTTTAATTTGACAAACACCACTATTATATACATAGAACAGTTGAATATGTGTATATTCAAGTGCAAGTCTCGGCCATTTGGTCTATCGTTTAGTCACTGATTTGATTTTAACTTTCGGTTTTGATACTTGAAGTCATTCTGGATAGACTATTAAAGGGCCTGAACGAACAGTTTGATTCAAATTCGGGTGTTCGTTCAGAATTTGCAAGGATTCGTGTGTTCCGATTCTTTAGATTTTCTGTTCTTTTCAATCAGTAGTGTTTTATTTCAATTTCATGTTTATAAAGAGCGTAGTTCGTTGTTTGCTAATAGAAATTTGATTATCATCTTCTGAATACTTTTGTTTTAAAGTAAAATCAATCTTAGGTTTTCCTTTGTTTCGATCTGATCCACGTAGCAATTGTTGACTAGCTAGTATTGATTTTGATTTGTATTGATTTTTAGTATTGATGATATTATTATTTAAAACAAAACTTACATTATAAAAAATTTGAAATTGTAAAAAATTTGTTTGAAAATTCAAGAAAGCAAAATGCTCTGGAACACACGGCAAAAAGTCAAATCTAGTCCTTTCATCACTTATATTTCATTCACCATGAAAATGCACCACCGCGAGGAATCTGCATATTCTGAGCAGCGAACTTATCACCACCATGTAGTTGCTGTGAACTCTCTTGTTGACCTCCTCCTGAACTTCCTTGAGCAGATGAGGCACTAGAACTGCCACCTGATTGTCCACCGGCTCCTCCTGGTTGTCCACCAACACCTCCTGGTTGTCCACCAACACCTCCTGGTTGTCCACCGGCTCCTCCTGGTTGTCCACCGGCTCCTCCTGGTTGTCCGCCGGCTCCTCCTGGCTGTCCACCAACACCTCCTGGTTGTCCACCCATTCCTCCTCCCTGTGCACCGGCTCCTCCTGGTTGTCCGCCGGCTCCTCCTGGTTGTCCACCAACACCTCCTGGTTGTCCACCCATTCCTCCTCCCTGTGCACCGAATCCTCCTGGTTGTCCACCGGCTCCTCCTGGTTGTCCACCAAAACCTCCTGGTTGTCCACCCATTCCTCCTCCCTGTGCACCGAATCCTCCTGGTTGTCCACCCATTCCTCCTCCCTGTGCACCGAATCCTCCTGGTTGTCCACCCATCCCTCCTCCCTGTGCACCAAATCCTCCTGGTTGTCCACCAGCTTGTCTTCGGTTTCTGTTGTTTGCTGAAAATTCGAAAGAAAACAAACCGTAAGCTCAAATTTCTAACATAATAATGTGTTATCGACATACCTTTGAAACCAAAAGCATTTGGCATTAATAATACCACGAATAAGCAACTAATAACAACGAAATTAACCATACTTATTTATTAGATATAAAGGAAATATAAGTTTTTGAAAAGCGAAACACAATTTTTTATGACACAGATAAAATAACTTACAATGGTAAGCTGGACAGCAGTATTTATAGAAAGGGTGAAAATAAAGAGTACATGTGTGTATTTCTCAGCTGTTATGTACAAGGATGACGAAGATAAAAAAACGATGTTGGATCATCTTTTTTCTCTATATCTATTTATAACTGCCGGTTAGTGGATAAGTATACGGTCCAGAACGATACATAATTATTTTGTTTTTTATTAAATGTATATCTTTTCTCTCTTAAAATCTGACGACACGACATGGCGTAGTTTATAAAATGAGAGAGAGAGAGAGAGGGAGAGGAAGAGATGTCACGACACTCAAAACAAAGCTGCTTCATCGACAAAAATGTATTTGCATGCTCTGACTACAGAAAATCGTCGATATGCAGGATGTTGACTTCGAGTTGCAAAACGAAAGAAAATGCATAAAGATGAATAAATAGACGTGTAAATCCACGTGCAAACTACATTTCGTCTAACAATTGTAAAAACGCGTCAAGTGCGAACTAGTTCATATTAATTTAGGATCTAAACAAGAATCATCCCGTCTCGTCAAAAATCATTCTTTAAATGAGCTGCTGACGTTAGGAAAGTTTCTACAACACGTTGTTCACTTAGTTGTCGGCTATTCTTAAAACTTTTAAGTCCGTTTTCCGAGTGTCCCGACCGACTGTTAATGGTGTAAAAAAGGAATAAGGACGGTCCGTGAACGTTACCATAAACTGCCAGTTTTTAAGAATGTCAATTAGCGGTCTAAAATTGATCGTTCACTGAAGTGATGGGATGGAGTCCAAATTGTAAAATGTATGCCTAGACGATCTCTTTCGTAGCAAAGCTATACATGACCATTTCAACTCACGAGGGAACCGCTCGAGATGTTTCCTCGCTTTTGAGCCGATATTTTGCACACAAGAAGGGGTCTCTAGGCTAGAATAATCGTAAGTTAGTTTGGTTGTCTGAACCCCCTGAGTCGAGTTATGAATTTTTCAAGTTTTTTGAAAAGTCAACGTCATCATCAATATCTAGAGTAAATTTCAGAATTTTTCCTTGCTTCTTTCAAGAAATATTGACTTTTAGTTTTCTTACAAAGTATGTCCAGGTCTGTCAGAGACTATGACAAACAATAACAAGAGAAAGGAGAAAGATATGCAAACAAACACGACTTGTAATTAAAAAGTTCAGGGAATAGTCATAAAATGATGTTATCACACTAGATGTAGTTGCACATTTTGCAAATCTGTTCCCTTATGTATTATCAATAGCGACAAAACTTAATTTGTTTTTCTAATAAGCGTGCAAATCATACCATATGGTTTTTTAAACTTTTAAAAGCATAGTAAAAGTAAAGGTTTGTCGCTGCCAGACGTGTACATACTTTGTAAGAAAAGAAAAATCAATATTTCTTGAAAGAAGCAAGGAAAAATTTTGAAATTTGTACTAGATATTGATGACGACTTAGAGTATCACGGGTAAAAATATCAAGTCGATCGAACCTTTCATCAAGGAGCAATGGTCTTTGAATGGTTCCAGTTCTTGGATAAAACTTTGTAAGTTCAATATCTTCGTGAGTTCAAATTGTGTGATGCTCAAAATTTTAGCAGAATACGCGTACTATCACTAGTAGTTTCAGTATGTAATTTTCTAGTGAACGAAATTATGGTTACTCAGAAATCGAATTTTTTCCCCTAATGTTACGTTTTTTTCAAAAAACTTGAAAAATTCATAACTCGACTCAAGGGGTTCAGACAACCAAACCAACTTACGATTATTCTAGCCTAGAGACCCCTACTTGTGTGCAAAATATCGGCTCAAAAGCGAGGAAACATCTCGAGCGGTCTCGCCCTGAGTTGAAATGGTCACGAGTTTTGCTACGAAAGAGATCGTCTAAGCATACGTTTTCATAGAACTCTATGGATTTTATGTACCTTTTTTGCACTAAGTGCACAAAACAAATTTTGAGTTTTTAACAGCAACCATTATTGTACAGTTTTGATTTTTTATTTGAAATAAGAAAAAACTGTACACTAATGGTTGCTGTTAAAAATCCAAAATTTGTTTTCCTGCAATTATTGACTCTTTCACACTTCAACTAATTGTACATGTTACTTTAAAAACTGAAAATAATGTTTTTATATTGAGAAAATGAAGTTTTATTAACAGAGATGACCCATAAAGAATAGGTAACTTTTATTTGCATTTTTTGAGAAATTGAAATAAAGTTTTAAGACTCCATTCTAGGCTATTTAGATAGCGAATTTTCTCTTCTATGAAACTCTGTATATGTAATATTAACACAGTGATCTTGTGTCTGATAAAGTAGAGTTTAATAACAGCAGATGAAACGTAAAACTATCCCACAAAGAAGAGACCGTACTCGTGGCCCTACTAATTCCTTTAACATGATATCGTACGATTTTACCAGCTCATTCCGATATGAAACGATAGAGAATTTTTGATCGATAAAGCCCACTATGCAATACACTCATCCTCTATTCTTTTCTACCCATGAAATCCATGTTTTCCTAAAAAGCTGATATTTTCTACAAGCATTAACTGATTTGTAGACATAAATTTTCGTATTTTCTGTTTTCGATATGAGAAAGCAGTCTGGTCTTGCACATAATCCTGAGTTCGCAGAATATTTTTTTGTAACATTCTTGTGTTCAATTTGGATACACCTCTTGAACATCTTGTTTAAAACATCGAAATTTTAAGGGTAACCGGAACTTCGCCAATAAGACTTTCGCCAACAGGACATTCGGCAATGGCGAAAGTGCAGGGGGTGTATTGGCGAAAGTACAGGAGGTATATTGGCGAAAGTACAGTGGACTGTCGTCAGCTGTCATGAAATAATGTTAACATAGGATACATATGAGGAGTGAAGCTAATGTTGTTAGAATATATATACCATAGCTTACACTTAGGATATATTCGCATATGAGCGAGCCATGTTTTTAATGAGAAAAAAGCGAGATTAATATGAAGAAAATACAAGTAAAGCGTAACCTAATGTTCATCTGACGATGCACCTGATGCACCTGAATAAAATAGACGAAAAAGAAAAAGAAAATAGAGAGACGAAAACGTGTACCACAGTCAGTATAATACTAAAAGATCACGCGCACACACATGTGAACAGAAGTAAGACAAAAAATAGAAAACTAAATACTAAGAACTTTTCTAATCCACGTCTAATTCACGGTCAAAATGGCGAAAGTACAGTGGACATTCGCCAATTGGCGAAATTCCAGGGGGTATATTGGCGAAAGTACAGTGGACTTTCGCCATTGGCGAATATCCTATTGGCGAAAGTCTTATTTGGCGAGATTCCGGAACCCCAATTTTAACTCCAAATGGCAGTTTTTTACTTTTCATCTGCTGTTGTTAAACTCTATTTTTTCAGACACACGACCGGTGTGCAAATATTAATGCCGGTAATTCAAAGATCAAGATATATTTTGTTTGGCTTTTCTACACAAGGCTCGATAGAGGTTACCGAGTTGCTTAGAAAAATGTTAATTTTGATTTCTAAACGATTTTTATGAAAGAAAATTTAAACTATTCAAGTTTTATTATGTGTTAAGCAAATGCTAAATTTTCAAAATTATTGTTCTTTTTTATCTGCCAAAACAGACATCTGCACCGGCATGCCGATGGCTGAAGATTTGTTGGTAATCACACGCAGCCAACTCTTCCGACTGAAATAATCGGCATTTGATAGGATCGAAAAAACTCCTCGTATCTTGTAATTACAAAGCGTCATATTCATCTTTTTCGCTGTTCCTACAATAGCACTGCAGTCTTAAGCTAATCTAAATTATTATTTCCTTATAAGTTACGACCGATGGCTTGACAGATGATGACAGCTAAAACAGAGCAGCGAAAGTAGCGACATTGTTTAATCGTACTGTTCAAAGCTACTTTAATTTTTCTTTACGACTGAAATTTTTTAGAAAATAATAGCTTCGGTAAAGAAAAAATTTTCACCGCTAATTTCGATATATTTCAGTCTCATGCACAGTCTAGGTCAAAGTCTAGGTCTAAGTAGCCTACAAAAAAACATAAAATTGCTCGCCATATTTGCGTATAATCAAGTGACAAGTGGCATTGTATGATAAATTTTTCATTAAAGTAGTGACTTGATAAACACATAGATTTAATGTATTGTCAATAAGCGATAATTAAGAATATGACAGTTGTGTCACTCTATAAATCGTATTATTATGCTTCATGCGTGAAGTTAGTATTTTATGAGGAATACTCATTGATATTCTATGCTTTTCCTTTATGGGTGAAATAGCATTAAGAAACATGTAATACTAATAGACAATATCCTATTCATGATCGCTGTTACAAAACATTCTGTCTATTACACGTTGCTGAATGCTATTTCACTCATAAAGGAAAACAAGACGATAGCATAGAATATCACTCAGTATTCCTCATAAAATACTAACTTCACGCATGAAGCATAATAATACGATTTATAGAGTGACACAACTGTCATATTCTTAATTATCGCCTATTGACAATACATTAAATCTATGTGTTTATCAAGCCACTACTTTAACGAAAAATTTATCAGATACTACACAGTGCCATTTGCTAGTTGCTTGTACGCAAGTATCGAAGCCAGTTTTATTTTTGACAACAGGCAACGCATTTTGTATTATTCATTCAGGCAATTCTGTCAATCGATAGATGATAGATGTTCATTGTTGTTAGACGATTTTTT